ATACTTGTATGCTACTTGTGAACCTATAAAAAGAAACAACAACAACAACATTAAAACACAGAAAAATATATTCCAAGTAGAAAACTGAATTGCGTATTGAAAGCCGTTCCCTCTTGTACAACGTTGTGTGGGTGTGGGCTGATTTAACACCTGCTCGAACATCACTTACTGGGGCTGTATAGCCAGAAGTGCACATGTGCTTCAACCAACAGAATGAGCGATTAAGGGTTGATTTGCCCTTTTGGATTTACATACAGTATTGTCATGGCAACACTGAAACATTCCCATTTGATTACCGGTCACATGTGACCTGTTTGCCATTCATCTAGACTCATTTGTTGTGACATATACCGGTCTAAACTCGAGCTAAATGCTTTACCGTCAGTTCAATCTTGTCCATTTCTTCAGGTTTGTTTTCAATCATATTGCAGTTTTAACAGAGATAGAAATATTAAATACGTTTATTTTGAGATTAAATTGAGATTTTTTTACAGTGTCTTCATTAAAGATGTGATCATTGACCAAGGATCCAAAAAGTGAGATGGACGCCATGCATTTATGGAAGGCCAGAGAATCTTATAACTTATAACTAAGACTATGGCCTCCCATTTACAGTAACGTTACATTTCTCTCTTTTCCATTTTCCGCCACATACATGCTACTCTCTCTATGTATTATTCACCACTGGCACTATACTCTTGCTTCAAACTGCACATCACAAATAGCCTATTCATCCATTCCTACATTTATTCTTGCCGTGTTCAAAAGGCTTACCTTGTGATGTTGTTGCTGTGTAGATAAATGTATCCAAGCACCATCAAGGTCAAGCTGTGGAGTCTGCTCAGTGCATTACTCCCTGTATCACAACTCAACAGCGTCTGCTGAGGTCCTGCAGTGTGCCATAGTGAAGGGACGATGCAGTGAATACAGAGATGCAGTGTTGGGATAAGAAATTCACATGCATTGTTTTGCACTGGTCAAGTACAGACATGGCTCTCAGAAAGCACATCAGCTAGACTGTAACCAACTAATGTTGGCTGTAGGTCCTCGCAATTATTGCTAATTAGTTCCAGCTAATATCATGGTACACTGACCAAATTTGTCTTTTTTTTTATTGGCAAAAGCAATGATCAGCGCTGCCTAAAGATCTCAAGCCTGGCCTGCATGTTGTCCTTGACATATAATAGTCTTTGCTAATAAGGAAACATTAGAAAAGATAGAATATTCAAAAAACAAATTGGTTCGTCTCAGAGTTTAGCTATTATTTTTCACATTCACACACTCACACTTTGATAGAAATGTGCACACGCTGTAGAGAGCTAATACTCAATACCATAACAAAATGTTATTGACAATTACTATAATCCCATCAAATTCTAATGTCATATTTCCCTGTGTTGATCCGTGCTTGGAGATATAGCTGCTCAATGCATTTGCTGGCAGTGGTAGATGTTTACTGGTTGCTATTTATAGAACTAGGGGTCTAGACCAGCTCTGCAGCTGAACACTGTGTGGAGAGAGAGAGGATGGTGTGTGGTATGAGGTGGTATTAGTCTTTGGTGGGTGGGGATGTCTGTGTGGGGCTATCTGATTAAGCGGCAAGCTTGTGTGCAGTGCATAAAGGTTGTGTATGTGTGGAGGGGAGAGAACAACACAACGGAGAGGGAGAGAGAGAGAGAGAGAGAGAGAGAGCGAGAGAGAGAGAGAGAGAGGAAAGGAGAGGACAGGAGGTGGATGGGAAGCGGAGTTGATGTAATTCAGCCTTTGGCAGCCATAACACAGGTCCTTAGCTGCAGGTCAACAGTAGCAGCGCGGCTGACCTGCTTCTAAATGTAGGCTACATCTTCGCTACTTCAACGGCATTAATATCACATAGGTTGACTTTAAGATTGCTGACTGAATAAAACACAGTCTTTATTAGATACCTCCTATTTTAGAGAGAGAGAGAGAGAGTGTGTGTGTGTGTGTGTGTGTGTGTGTGTGTGTGTGTGTGTGGAAGTATGTGTGAACCTGAACACACACACGTGCACACACAAGTACGCATACAACAAATACACAATGAAAGAGGGAGTAAATGGCTTTATGGCTTTGGCTTTGAAATATATATGAGGAGCTCTGAGATCCACCAGAGTAAATGTGTTCCTCATTCACTTCGTGGCTCTCTTGTATGTATATGTGGGGGGTGGATCTCCTGTATCCCAGCAACAGTGTTCCAGAGTTAGGCGGACTGGTGGCAAGACCTGGAGGATGAATGGGTGAATGTGTGTGTCTGATCTAAATGCGTGTTTCTCCAGTATGTGTGTTCATGTTCATTACATATGAATGATTTTTCGTAAGTACGAGTATGAGCGATTCATTTTTTTCTCGTTTTGTTGAATAATTTGCTGCATTTGGATTGTTTGATAACAAAATAAAAAGCTAATAAGTCAAAGATTGAGAAGTGTTTTTTGAGTGTCGTTTTTAAATCGTCATTGCTACTATCACCTGCAGCTCTCTTTATTGCTAGGGAATAAGCACAGGGAATAAGATGAAATATTGCAAATATATATTAACTTACCCTTGTGTGTTCGTATGAGTCCGTGCGTCCGTGACTTAGTGCTGACGTGGTTTATGACGACTGGCACTTCTCAAAACACCTAGTTTCATACTGCCATTGACTGCCTGCTCACTCCTCAGTCACCACTCTTAAATGGCGCCCCGGCTATTACGGGCTGCAAGTGATAACACAGCTGAGTGCACCCCCGCCCGACCCTTAGCTGCTATATATATATATATATATACACGGCCAGAGACACAGGGGAGCGGAAACAGTTTGCACACTGTTATTGTTGTGGATGGCGTGTTTGGATAACAGCTAACGGAACTACCAGTACACACACGACTGACTACCTCGCAGCCTCTGCTCTGCGGCTCACTTTTATGTGTTTTTTTTCTAACAGCTAACAGCTCATAGAACTACCAGTACACACACTGCCACTCAGACACTGCTAAGCAGGCAGGCAGCTTGGTGATTTTATCTTTGTGTTTTGGCAGGATTGTGTGAAGTGGATCATATGACGACTTTGAGACCATTGCTTGTATAACTACTTTTCTTTTTGAATATGAATGAAGTCCGTTTTACGAGTCTTTGCAGCACTAATTGTATTCATTCAATCACACACTACAGCAGTGGTCGTAGCAGAACCACCCAGCGGAGATCTGCACTCTACGGAGTGCGACTCTCTAGTTATTTATGTGCTTAATCAAAAAGTCACTTTTTTTTATCTCTTCCATAAATGCTACATGCAAGGCATTCATTGGCTTATATGTAGCAGTGGAACCCCGCTGTGCATGTATTAGCCGTGTGGCTGATATGTTTGAAGGTTAGGTACTCTTACAGTAATTGGTATGCTACAGCTGTGCCCCCCCCCCGCTAATTATAATGTGAATTTATAATACCATGCGCCATCCTAATGCACTCATAAATATGCAAAATGTCTAAATAATGATAATGATGAACATATAACCTGAACTTACACACAAAAGCTCTTGCTGCTTATGAATGGGAAATATCTGTAAAGCGTGCACACAGACAGCACAAGCGCACACACTTGTGCGGTGGTTGCAACTCTCTGTATTGTTTTTCCTTTTCCTCCATTGAGCCTGATCACAGCTGAGTGATCTCATTCTGGTTTTATAACCATTTCATTCATGCACAGACTCTCATGTTATCTTTCCAAATTCCCCCTCTACAGTATTTAATGAGAGCACAAAACCCTTGTTACGACAATTCAGGCAGCCAAACAAAAGTGTTTGTGATGGTGATGAGGTGGGGGAGTCTGGCAACAATAGATGTTATGTTATGAAAAAAAATAAGCAACTGATGACTTCATTGTGGGTTCGGAACGGTAGATTTATTATTGACCGATTTCTTCTAAGAATTTTCCAGATGAAAAATTTTGCCTTTTCCAATATTCGTTCACAATGGTTATTGGGATTCTCTGAGAACTAATGCAGTATGCAGTCACAGGCTTTCATTGCCACTAATGTCCTACACAGGTGTTTTCAGTTGTGGCTGAATCCTGGGGATTACATGAAGTCAACAGACAACAGGTGGTCATTCACTCTTCCTTTACATTGAGATTCCAGGCACTTATGGATCATCATTATTGTAGGATTGTTTGAGAAAATAGGATGGTGAACATACTTGTAGACAGGATAAATGTGTGTTACTTCTTGTTAATGACTGCCAAAGCAGGGTTGCTGTGACAGTCAGTGTTGCTGTTATGGGTAGTCTTCAGTTCTTTAAAGACAATTAAACTATAATCTGATACATATAACGTTTTATTGTTAACATTTGTGTAACATTTTCACTCAACGCTGGTGAGCCATGTGTCTCCACGTCACTTCAGAGCAGATAACTGTAGTTGAGGCACTGCTGGGAAAATTAACATGACTAATGGCAGACAGCGCATGCAATGCATTTCAGAGACAGCGTCGTTTTGCCGAGTCAGGCCTTGATATGCTGAGTCTTGTTTTCTCTCAATTCAATCCAGATGCAATATTAACAGAAGCTGTGGTTTCTTTACTAATTACACAGTGTGAAGTCTCTGTGGTTTATCCATAGAAGATTGTTGAAATTTGGATGCATCATTAATGTATGCAGTATGAAAAAGTGTTAAAAGGATGTGGACGTATGTTTGTTTAAGACAATATGTATGGATGCATTTGTTGTTCACAATTGTGTCTGATTGTCACAACAGCAATGTGAAAGGAACATTTTTTTTCATCATTTAAAGTCTTTTTTTCTGCCCTTCAGCAAAGTGGTCAGTTACAAAAAGTAGACGAAATGTTTGATGACAAAAAAAATGGACAGTTATCTTTTTGAAATGACAAAGCTTCAATTGGATTCACCACACAGTGGAATGTCATAGGGGCAGAAAAGCAATCATTTCATTACCTTAGAGCTTAAAATGTTTTTCTACTTCAATCAAAATATTGTTTTGTGTCTTCCCTTGCAGACTGTACGTCATGGCTTTCCTTACCAGCCCACTGCTTTGGCCTTTGACCCTGTGCAGAAGATCCTGGCCGTCGGCTCCAGAACAGGCGGCATACGGATGTATCCTTTAACCTTCATCAGCTCTCTTCCTCCCTTCCTCTTGTCTGGAGACACACTAGAAAACTCTACATACATTAATACATATTCACAGTAAATACATTACTTGGCCTCCGTACCTTTCATACAGAACAGCGAGGCGCAATAATGGCACGGGCTCTGTGAAAGAGGCTAAAGTTTTATCTACTCTGACGGGGCTCACTGGCTTAAGAGGGTTGTCTGGTAACCGCAGGGTCAACGGTTCGATCCTCGACTGGGACGTACCACGTGTTGTAGTGTCCCTGAGCAAGACACTGAAACCCCGGCGCCCCGGGCACCTGTCATTGGCAGCCCACTGCTCCCTATATACAGGGATGGGTCAAATTTCGTGTATATGACAATAAAAAGGGTTTCTTTTCTCTTCAAACCTGTGGCGCTGCTATAGTGTGTCTTCCTCCGCCCCTCCCCCCTTCTCCTCTAATTGTCATCCCTCTTTCAGCCCTGTCATTTCTTGTTGCTCGGCTGTCATGTCACAAGCTCAGCAATATCCATCCAACAGCCCGTCCCCCGGGGTAACCCGGTCACTGGGATGGGAGAGGACGTGCGAGTGCAACCCAGGTAGGAGATTACACCCTCATAAATACCCAGGGTTCCCAGTATGCCTTTAAGGAAGCAAGCAATCATTGATGCTGCAGCAGCCGCACTGCTGATCCTGCTGGGGTAATAGATGGACAGACGGAGTGATTTATCTGCTGAAAGAAACAGAGAAAACATGAGACAGGGACAGAGGAAGATGTGACATTGTTTGAATATTTGAAACGGAGGGAAAGAAATGGAGGATAGGAGGCTCTCTCGAATGGATGCCTGACTGTGAAGCAAGGCTTCGATCTCAGTTGGATGGAAGCCCTTGAGTGACTTAGTGTTTGTATTGACATGCTGCACACACCTTCGTCTGCTCCCATGTGGCCTGTCACTGACTCTCTCACTCTCTTTCTCTTTCAATTGCATGCTCTCACATACACACATTTCTCTATTGTGCTGTTTCTCATTCTGCCTCGCCCTCCATCGCGTTCTCTCTAGAGGACCTATACCCACCCCCCTTATTTCTGCTTATTTATTCAATTCACCCTCCCTCTGTCCTTCACAGCCTGTCTGAATGTTGTTCCTTTTCTTCCCTGGGCTTTCAATGTCTACCTGCCATCTTCTCTCGTGGTATCTCTTTGTTTGTTTTTGTCCTCTATTGCTTTTCTAATGTGTTTCCCATCTCCATGTTCCTTCCTTTGTAGCTGCACAGTGGTAGTCATTGCATGAATTTGTCATGCTCCATTTCTACTTTTTAAATGGTACGATAGTAAGTCCTGCCTTTTACTTTTGTTCTGCATCAACACTATGTTAGTGTTGCACACACAACCAACCAGGGATATTTCACCATTTCTAATATAAGTTCTGATACTGATGTAATTCACTCATTAGATATCGCATGATGTTACTGATTTACATAAATATGAAATAATGTTGGGGAACGTTCCTCCGGCTGTATTGGGATGGCTACGCTAGCATCTTTAGCACAGCGGTCAAGTGGCTGCTCAAAGCCCAGAGCCTCGTGGGTCGAGGACAATCCGACTCTAGGGCCCATTAACAACATGTGCATGTTTTTAACTTATTTAATAGGGTTTTTAGATACACAGTTCTTGCACTTTTATTTCAAATAAGAAACCTATGAAGGAGTTGTCAATTTGCCATCGCACTCTTTGTAATTCTCTTATTACTTTTTAACTTGTATGGACTTGTGTATTGAAATTGACTTGCTAGTAGTTGAAAATGCATTGCTGTGCACTTTATTTGTTCAAATTTCTTTCATGATAGAATTAACCAGTCAATTTCATTTTCATCCAAAGCCTCAAAAGGGAGAGGATGTGGAGTTGTCAGGGCTTAGTGTTGTCTGAAGCAAGACTTTAGTACTCAAAGGAAGTAATAAGACATAAGCTCATTATGATCACATTGGGTACATCATCAGTTTAAGAAAGGCTCATGCCTTTAATAATATAATCTTATATTAGCTATTCATTGAAATAGATAAGTTAGCCTCTTTGTAAGCTTTAGTTTTCCAAATCGCATTGAACCATTCACCCGGTTTAGGGCTTTACCAAGTTTTTACAACATACACTTATGTTTACATGTTTCCTGATTACACTGAATCCTGCTGCACAAACAGCACCCTGGCAAGGGAATCACCAATAAAACAAAAGAACAAAAGAAGACAAACTCATCAAATGGGTGTGTATTGTGTATCTCCTGATCCAAAATTTGGAAGCAAACAACATGACCCTGTCTGGTAAACTCCAGTAGTATTCTGTGTGATTTGAATTTCCTAAATGACAAATCACTTTTTTTTTTCCAATCATGATTTCTCCAATAGGTGAAACTGAAACCCTCCATAGTGATCAAGAAACACAAAAGACACACACTGTTACATTCCGTTGTATAGTGATTTAGTTTTGAACAGTATTGTTAAAGCCTGCACTGTGTCAAAATGTCACACTGGGACTGGTCCTGCTCTGGTGAGTGGTGCATAGTGATGATGTCATCAGGGTTGGCGCAGTGGGTTGGCAATGAGGCTCTCTGCAGTGGGCTCCTAGGACACTCCTCCCTCTGCCTGGGGCGAGATTACCAAAATATCCTGAGATTTGGTTTATTGAGAGCAAATAGAAAGAAACAAAGAGCACGACAAGTGTAAGCGTGTGCATGTCTGTGTGTTCAATGTGTTCCTTTGTCTATTTCTTTAGCTAAACATTGCTTGCTTACTGAGTGTGCATTCATGTGTCCCGTCTACCTCTGTCAATATAGTTTACACAAATGTAGACGTGTGTGTGTGTGTGTGTGTGTGCACGTGTGTTTGTTTCTTATTGTTGTTGGTTTGTGTGTCGGTGCAGCGAAAGAGGATGTACTTTCAGTAAAGGGTTCATGTAATAGAATTGCCCAGAGTTTGATTGACAGTCAGTTCTCATAACACTCAATCTGATCAAAGAAATGAAGAACGAAAATGTGGTAAGAGACAGAGAGCAATGGAAAAGAATGAGCGTGAGAGTGAGGGAGAAAAAGGACAGATAGAGGGTCCGTATTGGTATCAACAGCTTGTTTATTAAACACCTGACAGTTCAAATTGATCCATGTGTCCCTTACACAGCAAATCTCTAAATCATAGCCACATTCTTGTTGAGACATTACCAGGTCCTGAGGCTGTTACATTAGACTGCATTCATTTTAGCTAGTGCACATGCACCTGATACACTGGCTACAAAGGCTAAATAATACGGAAACATCATACTTTGCTGCGGTAAATATCTTTGATATTGATTCGTAATGTCAACGGATGCGAAATCAACACCGGAAATATCAATAGACATGACTGAAGCTGATATTGCATGTCATCCTCTATCAACTCAAGGTGCTGTCAAGACTTTTCCCCTGCCATGAATTTGTCGACAGTGCTGAGTAATCGAGATACGTTAGCCAGCGGTGACAACGGTCCTCTGCCTATAAGAGGCCGGCTGCCGCTTCACTTCTGAGGACAAATTCTCTCATCAGCAGCCAGATGTTGTTCAACGACCAGCAGCAAGCAATTAGTAAACCTAATTTGAACAATAGAACATGAGAGGACAATGGAAGGAGGTCACAGCTGCTGTTACAGTCCAGTATTAATCACACAGTCTTACGAACAGATTTGCAGTGCCAGTTCGACAAACAATACCATCAGATAGTTATCAATTGGGCATTCATCGTTATCACACTGTGTCACTGGCTGACTGTGTTAGCAGTCTGCAAACGTAGTGTTGCAATCAATGGCTCAGCTACTTCAGAAAGTGGCCAGTGCCATAATCAGATGCTACCCAGATCAAGACTGTCTGGTGTATTTGCACACACCATGCTAATGATAATTATGCTTTCACCACTGGTAGCACAAACTCTGTTTCCAAACTTGAGCTCGCACACCCGTTTGCCATGCGAGCTAACACACACTTAATCACAAAAAAGACGTAAGTCCTGCCTATAGCTTCTCACTGGGTCTTGATTGAATTACACCTAATAGGATTTGCAGCCCTCCATTTGTAAACTAGAGTAATGGCCGTTTTTCACTGGTGCCAAAGGTGAGCAAGCAAAAGTGCTGCTCTGGTAGTGAGACTGAGAAGTGATGAATCAGCAATAGTAAGCTGTTCATAACCACACGCTGCACTCTATCCTTACTTTACCCTTGTGGGGTGCATGCTAATAGAATTAATGTCTCTACCCTGTAGTTAACCCCTGTAAAAAGGGAAAGTAATACGAGTATGGTTTATTTTGAATCAGAATGAAATATAGCAAAGAATATTTTCCATTTCTGATAGAGTTAGGACTTTTTTGACACAATTGCTTCTCATTGTTTCCTCTATCTTTAGTCTGTACAACACGTCTTTTAATGAGTGTTGCTCATGACTGTGGAAACGTCCACATATGGTGAGATCACATGCATATCCAGGTTAACTCAGTCTGAACATGGTCTGTGTTTGGCTGTACCCCACATAAATAAACAGATAGTGGCACACAGTGAAAAATCCAGTGCCAGAGGCTGGCTGCTATACCAAAATCTCACAGTTGTGGTTCAGGTATATTGTCAAAATGTTAGAAAATCTTTATGCAATTTTTGTGGGAGGACAGAGGATTATTTCTATGTACATGTGTGGAAATACCTTCTGTAGCTTGATTGCATTACTTTTATAATTTAGCTCCTGAAGTATTAAATAGCAGCTGGAGGAGGAGAAGCCTTTTGTCCTGATGCAAATTAGGATAATCTGTGAACACTACTAACAATATCAATGTCCATATCATGCTGAATTCATATTACAAAAATAAAATGATTATATAGAAGAAACAATAAGGAGTTTAGAATAAAGCCATAGCCCAGCCTCATTACGGCGTTTGCAGTGATTGGGGGTATATGTTTGATGTTCAAGTTTACTTTTGGACAAGCTGACAATGATTTGTGA